TATTTATTTATTTTATACATGTTCTTCTTATTTTATAACATGTTCATTTCATTATGTAACATATCCATCTTATTTTACAATATGTTCACCTTATTTTGTAAATATGTAACATTTTCATCTTATTCTATAACATGTTCATCTTATTATATAACATGTTCATCTTACTATGTAACATGTTCATTTTATTATAGATTTGCGTCATCATATTCTAATAACATAAATTAATTATAAAAAATAATAAATTAATTGTATTCCAAAATTTATCAAATGTGGTCTCTATTTGTAGAGAATGAAAAATTATGAATTTTGATATTTTTATTTTTATTTTTAATATAAAATATAGTTGATAATTTAATTTATTTAATATGATATATAAAATTCATTAACCTACAAAAATAAGACACATGTATTTAAACAATACTTACCTTATCTCACTTACCTTGTCCTCTCTCTGCGCGTGGGCTAGAATAAATTGGACAACAATTTCAATTTAAAGTCACTCTATTTTTTTTGTTTTACGTGCGTTCACTCTCGGCCCTGGCACACCTAATTATTTGCGGTGTGTTGGTGTTGGGTGGGACCCACAAGTTAGTTGGGTAGGAAAATTACCACACTGTCTTTAATGTGTTAAAATTTGAGTTTTTTTTTAGGATGCCATTAACACGGAGGCTAAGAACCCTGTACGGAATGCACAGCACATACACAGAATCATTGAATTTTCATTGCAATAAATTCCGTAGCCAAGATACAGCGCTCAATCATTGCTCGCAGATTTGATAGAGATACACATGGGCCATGACATTGCTCCCCTTTTTGATTCCACTTATTAATTCTTCTTCGTGCAGCAGTGTAGCTGAGGCCACCAGAGTGGTAAAATTTGAATTCTTGGCCCCCCTCTTGTCCACTCACCAGATTGCCTTTTCACTACACCTTTTTCCTTAGCACACCATTTGTAACAACAACTTACAAACAAGAAATACATATACATCCTCAAAAAGAAAAGAATAACAAATACAACAAACACTGTTATCACATACGCTACCTACACTGCTCTTCAGAATCAGAATTCTCTCCTAAAGAATCAGATTTTCTAAAAAACAAAAACCATGTTCAAACAGAATCTTCTGAGAATGCAAAAGAGCAGCTTGAGGATCCTTGCAACAACACTCTCTCAGGCATAGGCATAGGCATAGGCATAGGTGGTGGTTTATGATTGGCCCAAAGATTCCCCTTGAACAAGTCACCTCCTTCCGACCTTGCAGGGTCCACGTTCCGAATCTCCTTCAACATAGCCACCACGTCCTTCATAGTCGGCCGATCATCCGCACGTGTGCTAAGGCACAGGAACGCAACGGCCAGCGTCTGCAGCATCTCGTGCACCTGCGGATCGGCCCGCCCCCTCAGCCTTGGGTCGAGCATATCCACCGGGTCCAGCTTCTGATTCAGGTGCTCCCTCACCCATTGGACCAAGTGGGACCCACCGGGCAGCGTCGGGTCCAACGGGTGCCTCCCTGTCAGCACCTCCAGCACCAATACACCAAAGCTGTATACGTCGCTCTTCTCTGTGATCCTCTGCATCGATCCGTGCTCTACAAAATAAACAAAATAACGAATTCTTAATCAAACAAAATCTTAAAAAAAAAAAGTAAACATCTCTTATAACTCTGCAAAAGCACACATTCTACACATACCAGGAGCCATGTAACCGTATGAACCGGCCATATGAGGCCGGTTTCGACTTGGTTTAGCGTCAGCTTCACGATCAACGACTCTCGAAAGCCCGAAATCCGCAAGGTACGGCTCCATTCGGCTGCCGAGCAAGACATTCATAGCCTTCACATCCCCATGAATGATGGGTGGCACACAGTCGTGGTGCAAATACGTGAGCGCGTGTGCAATTCCTAAAACGACCTCGAACCTCGCCTCCCACTCGGCTCCCCCATAATTCTTCTGTGCACCACCATGGAGCATCGAACTTAGGCTCCCGTTCGGGAGGTAGTCGTAGAAAAGCAACTTCATCGTCCGGCTCGAGCCCCACCCCAGAAGCCGCACAATGTTCTTGTGCCTGATGGAGCCGAGCGTCCGGATCTCGGACACAAACGGGCTCACCTCCTCCTCCTCCTCCGAGGCCCACATCTTCTTCACAGCCAGGGTGTCACCGTCTTGGACCATCACTCTGTACACAACTCCTGAGCTTCCTGTACCGATCACATTGGCCGATGTCAGGCTCCTGACCACATCATCAATCGAGAGCTCCAGCTTCTGATAAAACGTCATCTCCCAAGAATTGGACCCTGTGGTCTTCCCGTTTCGGGCCATACGGGCCCGGATCACGACGTAAATGGCAAGCAGAACGAGCACCACGCTTACACTGATGAGAATCGCCATCGCCAGTTTCATGGAGGCACGTGCGTGACGGGTGGTGGGGTCCACCATGCCACTGGTTGCGGTAATTAAGTGTAGGTTGGGATTGCCCTGGAGACTGCCTGGGGGCAGCCTGCTGAAGAAAGAGGTGTTGGGCAGGCTGCCTGAGAAGTCGTTAAACGAGATGTTGAGGGAAACGAGGTTCTGGAGGCTCCCGAGGGGATCGAGATTCCCGGAGATTCTGTTGTGGGAGAGGTCGAGGATTCCAAGTTTGTCGAGGTTGGAGAACTCGGATGGGATTACGCCCGTGAATTGGTTGCAGCTGAGGTTGAGGGAGATCTCGAGGGATGGGAGCAGGCCGAGCTCTCTTGGAAGCTCGCCGGAAAAGGCGTTGTCCCCGAGGTCGAGCAACTGTAGCCTACTGCAGGAGATGATCTCTGCAGGGATTTTCCCGGCGAGATGGTTTCTTCTGAGATTGAGTTTGGTTAGTTGGGCGAGAGAGCCGATGCTTGGGGTCAGCAGGCCTGTGAGCCGGTTTTCCGAGATGTCCACGAACTGTAGATTTCTCGGCAGAGTCCCAGGCAGGGTTCCGGACAGCGAGTTGGAGTGGAGATCAAGAAACTCGAGACTCTTGCAGTCCGAGATGGAAGAAGGTATGGATCCCACGAGATGGTTGCCGCCCATATCGAGGAAGTTTAAATTTTTCAAGTTGCCGATTTCGGATGGAACAGTGCCGCCCAGCCCGTTATCGCTGATCCTCAGCCGGTACAAGTTTGTGCAGTTGCCAATGTCGGGCGGGATAAAGCCAGTAAGATTATTTGAGATCAGCAGCAATTTTGTCAAGTTTCTTAGTGAGAATATCTGTTTTGGCACCGGGCCGTAAAGCCCGTTGTAAGAAAGATCGAGGGCATCGAGATTCCGGCAAGCGGATAGAGATTCCGGGATGGTGCCCGTCAGGTTATTCCTCCAGGCGAAAAATATAGTCAGGCCAGTTAAATTCCCGATCCCGGGTGGGATTTCCCCGGAAAATTGATTGTTGTCGAGTTCCAAATCAGTCAGACGGACACAATTTAGGAGCTCGGGAGGTATAGTACCTGACAGTTGGTTCATGCTCAGTTGCAATTGCTCGAGCTTGACGAGATTCCCGAAGCTCGCCGGTATTTTTCCGGTGAGGAGATTTATGGAGAAGTCGATCACTCTCAAATCTCTACAGTTTCCAAGTCCGGACGGAATTGTCCCCACCATGCCGTTCTGCCATAGCAGCAGGCTCTGAAGGTTTTTGAGGTCCCCTAACCTCGTAGGGATTGGGCCCGTGATAGAGTTCTGGTACAGGTACAGATTCTGCAGTTCCGTGCAGTTCCCTATCTCGTCTGGGATGGGACCAGACAATAGAGAAGTGTAAATCGCGATTGTCTGGATTTTGTGCAGGTTTCCGATCGACGGAGGCAGGTTCCCGGAAATGCTGGTCTCGGCCAGCCCGAGAATCTCCAAATTGGTGCAGTTTCCGATTTCGTCGGGCAACTGGCCCTTGAGATTATGATTCCCGCCTGCTCTGAAGGCCGTGAGGTTTTTCAACCTCCCTATGCTCTTGGGGATCTCGCCGCTGAGCTGGTTGTCGAACAGTATGAGGCGCTCGAGGCTCGATAGGTTGCCGATTTCCGGCGGTATTCCGCCTTGGAGCGAGTTGGTGTTGAGGACCAACGTCCGCAGCTTGCTGAGCCCGCAGATTTCGGGGGGAATCTGGCCGGATAGGGCATTGTCGCTGACGTCAATGAGAGCGAGGTCGGAGTATTCCCCGAATTCGGCGGGGATTACGCCGTTGAGGTTGGCGGACTGGAGAACGAGGGTATTGAGCGACTTGAGGGGTTGGAGATTGGAGGGGAGTGGGCCCCGCAGGTCGACGGACTTGAGGCTGAGTTCCTGGACGGCGCCGTCGGGGGTGCAGGTGACGCCAAACCAGTTGCACGGGGTGGCGTCGTCCGGGGTCCAGGAGCGGAGGGCGGCGGCGGCGGAGTCATTTAGGGTTGACTTCCATTGGAGCAGAGCTCGGCCCTGGTCGTCAATGGAAAAGCAAGTGGAGAAGAAAAGGGAGGCGGTGAAGAGGAGGAGGAGAAAGGATATGATAGGAGGCATTGGTAGTGATGAGTTATTGAGTGGGGATTGCTGTGTGGATGAAGCTCGCCATGGTTACTGTCTTGTTTATAGAGAGGAAGGAAGAAAACCGACTGATGGTTGTTGAGAAGCGATCTGTTCTGGATCCCAATTGCACTTTGAATTTTCTGTTATTATTTACTATTTTACTGTATTATTGTTAGCAGTGATGCTCCGAGAGATATGTTAATATGTCCATCGTGAATGTGGCATTCACACACATCCATAATGTTAATATGTTCAAAGAAATATATCACCAATATAACGATGGGCATATTAACGTATGCCACCAGATAAGCATTATCATTATTGTTAGATTAATTAATTGGGGATGGTGACGAGGAGGAGGGAGGGGTCCTCGTTTTCCTCATTTTTTTTTTAATTTCTTTTTTTTTCTTGGGCCCCATAATAATTTATCTGATGCAAATTAATTAATTATTGGATTTATTGCTTAATTGATGTCCAGGTAAAAAAAAAGAAGTTATATTTATTATTAATTTATATTTAAATTTATTTTGAATTTGAGGCTAGTGAAATCCCCACGGCACATGAAGTGGTGTTATTTGGAAGTTATTATGTGGAAGGGAAGGGAGCATATAAATATAAATATAAATACAAAAGCGGTGGTTTTTTGGATTAACTATATAACTTCTCGCCATTCTGTTTGTTTGGGAGAGCCTTGAGAGTTTCAGATGTTGGTAAAAGTTGGAGAGTATTAAAACAGTTTGCTACATGCATTCACGCAGTAATCTTCTCATTTTTCACACGTTTATAAAATTGTTTAACTTTGTTCTTAATATAAGGAAAAACCGCTATAATATTAATGGTTTTTTTTTTTTTTTTT